GACTTCAATTTCCCATCAGACCAGCATTTGCCCTCACTATTAATAAGGCTCAAGGACAAACATTAACAACCACCGGTATATATTTACCCCTATCTGTTTTTACACATGGACAGCTCTATGTGGCACTTTCGAGATGCTCTAATCCCAACAACTTGAAAGTTCTAATACTCGATAACCCAACACAAATACGACCAACACTCTTCCCTAACTCTCCATTTTCAGCACCAGATGGATCCTACACAAGAAATATTGTATTTAAATCAGCTCTGTAACCCTTAATCCATTTACACTACATCCCCCATTACACTGCATTCCTCTATCATTTACAAACACTCATCTTAAGAATAAATTATATTAATACATCTACAAGGGCAATTCGCTAGTCTTTCTTTTATTATTAGCCGTGACTTCCGAAAAAAAATTGAAAATGAAAAATGAAAACAAAATAAAGGGGACTCTAGGTGATCTGTTGATCTCTATCTTTCTTTTTCACGGCCGGAACACTCTCCCCGAATCTCGGAACGATCCTCCCCCATGTCCCATGCACCCAATCCTACGGCCCCCGATGTCGATATCGACATTTACACGACCCTTCGCCTTATGCAGGAGCAAATGCAGCAACAGCAACTCCTTTTACAACAGCAACAAGCCAGGATTCAACAACTGGAGGCCGAATCAGTCGAACAGGACGGCAAAGTGGTCTGCAAGCCCCGAGCAACCACTCTCAAGCTCTACGAAGAACTCCTCAACATCTATCCAGCCATCGGGGAACCCAAGTTCTTCGATTCCGAGCTACCCAAGAACCATGAGGTTTTCGATTGGAACGACTACCATTACACCGAGGGTATGGATTACAAGCCTCCCCCAGTTTTGCAACACTCCGAAGTGTCCCTCACGGATGCAGCCAAGCGACACGAACGTGATTTGGCAACAATCCAAGGATATTTGGCACACACAACCCGGTTCTACGACACTCTCGCCCATGAGGTCATCAAAAATAAGGAATCCGACTCGGCTCACGGCAAACGTACGCTCGGTTTCCTCAACACCGTACGTATCTCAGCATCCCACGACGCTTCCAGGATCAGTCGGATGCGAGAGAACCTTTACCTCGACGAACTCGGTATTAAGCATGGAAACGACAAGGAGGAATCCCTTTTCACTTTGGAATCACTGGCAGCCAAAAAAGCAGCCGCTGATCTGGTTCGAAAGACATACAAGAAATACGAACCTCCAAAGGACAAGACCAAGAAGCCTGACAACAAGTCTACCAAGGACAAGTCAGCAACAGACGACAAACCCAAGGACCAGCAGTCGGGAAAGTCGCAACCCAAGGACAAGTCAGGATATAGATCTGACAACGGCAAGTCGGGTTACAAGTCGGACGGAGGCAAGTCTGGTAGCAAGCCTCGGTACAAGTCTGGTGGCGGCCAAGACAGGAAGCAACCAGTCCAGGGAAACGACGGGGAGGAGTCGGATTAGTAGGAGGACGACTTCTCCGGTTCCAGGAGGCATGGAGAGAGATGACGGATTCGACTTGGGTCAACAACATCATCAAGTCGGGCTACAGCATCATTTTCGACCGACCTCCACCACTGCGCCTACCACCGCTACACGATCCGTTCAATTCACCGGAGGAACGGACGGCTATCGACGAAGAGGTCCGTACTTTATTACGGAAAAAGGCTATCGAAGGTTGCAGCGGGAAGGGATTTTACAGTCGTATCTTCACTATCCCCAAGAAGACGGGAGACCTACGCCCAGTGTTGAACCTACGTCCACTCAACCAATTCTTGACAGCACCCAAGTTCAAGATGGAAACCCTTACCAACATTTGCAGGATGCTCAAACCTGGCGACTGGCTTACGAGTATCGACCTCAGCGATGCGTTTCTACATGTGGCAGTCCATCCAGCATCTCGCAGGTACCTCCGCTTCCGATGGGGAGCGGAGTCATACCAGTTCCGAACTCTGCCTTTCGGACTTTCACTTTCCCCCTTCGTCTTCACAAAAATCGTGCGTCCAATTCTCAAGTGGGCAAGGGAGAAAGGGATCAGGATCTCGGCATATCTCGACGACATCCTCATCGCAGCCAGGACCAAGGAGGAGGCCAAGGAGCACACTCATCTAGTTCGGGAACAGCTGGAAAAACTTGGATTCCTTATCAAGAACGCCAAGTCAACACTAGATCCTACCCAATGTATCGACCATCTTGGGTTCAGGATCAACACCGGCAACATGTCACTGTCGGTTCCAAGGCCAAAAGTCCGCGACCTGCGCAGGGAAGCGGAGAAGCTGATCAGAGCAGGGACGGTTCAACTTCGGCGGCTGGCGGCATTTATCGGGAAGGCGATCGCGATGACGGTGGCGGTCTTTCCGGCTCGACTGAGGACGAGGAATCTGATTCAGGTTCAGAATGCAGCTCTGGCCAAGAAATGCAAGTGGACGGATCCAGTTACATTGGACACGGCGGCACTGGAGAATCTCAGCTGGTGGCGATCTCATCTTTCGGAGTGGAACGGTCAAGGATTCTTGCCTCAGAGGACGGAAGTCGACGCATACACCGATGCCTCGGAGGAGGCATGGGGGATTGTGATCGAGGGCAAGGAGATGTCCAGGACATGGAGCGCATTGGAACAACCACACCACATCAATTGGAAGGAGCTGCGGGTCATCTGGCACTTGGTCCACCTTTCAGAAACGATCGGGAAGACCATTCATGTTATTTGCGACAACATGACAACCATTGCCCAGATCAACAAATTCGGCGGGACGAGGTCTCGACCACTACTCGACCTGACGACCAGGATATGGAACCACTGCATGGCAATGGGCACACGACTCAAGACGACATACGTTCCCTCACAGTTCAATCCAGCAGATGCACCGTCCAGGAGGATGACAACGCAGCTGGAGTGGTCGATCGACAAGTCATTCTTCCAAACCCTCGAGTCGACATGGGGTCACCACCACATCGACCTATTCGCAACAGCAACGAACGCCAAAGTTCCTCGATACATCTCATGGAAGCGGGAGGAAACCGCCTGGGGCCAGGACGCGTTCAACAGCAGCTGGTCCAATATGAACAGAGTTTATGCGTGTCCACCGTGGTCGCTAATCACCAAGGTCCTCCAGAAGATCAAGCAGGACAAGGTCAAGGCAACGGTCATCACTCCATTCTGGACGAGCGCGCTCTGGTATCCTATGATCACAGCCATATCGGTCGACAAGCCTCTACGGATCCCGAGGAACCAAGTCTTACCAGCTCCGGGGAACAGTCCACACATCCTCGAGAGGAATCCAATGTGGTCGCTCTCGGCCTGGAACGTCGACGGCAACAAGCAGTAGAGAAGGGAGCACCCGGATGTTTGAGCATTACCGCCGCGCTAAAGAAGGAGATCCCGCCGGACGACGTTGACACACACGGCCGTCGGTCATCCCCAGCCATTGTTGAAGCGTGCTACAGGATCTCGCGATCTCTAACAAGCAACTTCGCCGCAGCCATATTTCCTCAAATCTGAACCCACAGATAGAGTCCCTGGCAAGGAAGAATAATGGATAGCGTTGCCGAATGTAATGACGGCTAAAGCCTATTATTCGACAACGCCAGGGACTCTAGATGTCCCACCCGACCCGCCCTTTTCTAGCAAGTAGATAGAGATCAACAGATCACCTAGAGTCCCCTTTATTTTGTTTTCATTTTTCATTTTCAATTTTTTTTTTTTTTTTTTCGGAAGTCACGGCTAATAATAAAAGAAAGATACACACACATCTAGAGTCCCTGGCGTTGTCGAATAATAGGCTTTAGCCGTCTTTACATTCGGCAACGCTATCCAAAGATCAAAAAAGCAACGTCGCTATGAACGCTTGGCTGTCACGAGCCATTAAAAAGTCATGGTCTAAACGCTCTTTTCCTTGCTCAGCTTATACTTTTTCCTCCCTTAGTCCATACTTTTTCCTCTCTCCACCCGCATCACAAAAACCTCCGAGCAAGGAATGACACGAAGTATGGTTAAAAAGAGAGTCCAGCCCAGCGCAACTGAGTCGAGGCTCGGTTCCAGGCCCAGGGTTAGGTTGTGGTTGGAGGTGGAGGTGCACCAAAACAGACATAATAGAGGGGTCTGAGGAGAAGCTAAAGTGAAACAAAAAAAATTTAGCTTTGCGCACTAGCCAGATCCTAAAATTAAGCGCGACATTTGGACTGAATACATGTGGTCGGGGTACCGCTTAGCTCCCAAGATGGGAGCAATTGTTTTTTCTCGGCGAAACCAAAGTTGGTTGCAGTTTCAGGACAATTAAGCGCGTCAGGTAGCATAGAATTTACAGCATTTTTTAACTAACACAGTGTGTCATAATTTGAAGCCGCATGTCATGAAAGCATAATATGTAAGGTTAAGTTAAAATCCAGATAAGAGCTGTACAGCCAGCAGTGACTCGTTTTCGACATCTGAAGTGAACCCGCACCGCCGCTACCCCTTAATTAGAGATGGACTCCTTTCCATATGACATGAACAATCCAGAAGAAATGCACCCTCGAATTCCTGCTGAAGCAAGGATTGAAAGAGCCGACATCGAAGGATCAAAAAGCAACGTCGCTATGAACGCTTGGCTGCCACAAGCCAGCTATCTCTTCACAAGATCATCCTCCGATTAGCGTGTTTCTGCGACCGAAGAAGGTTGGTAAGTGATGCGTTGAAGAAAATAATTTCCTACTACAACCACACAACGGTTCTACTATCACGTGATATTTCGGCATGCCTTGGTCTTACCAGCATCCCTTGATTTGTCTGAGAACGGCACCTTCGAACTAGCCAGTACCCGTGCGTTTCGACAGGCGATGTTCTCCAAGTTCTATCGCCCTCCAACCCCAGCACCACATCACCCACTTCATGTTGGTTCCTCATTCCTTGCCATCCCAAGCTCCATCTCTTTCTCTCGCCTTCTCTTTTCCACACCGACAACCAATACAGATATGCTTTTGACACCTTTCAACCTGGCCCGATGACGGATAAACGCTGCACCCTCTTCAATCTCGAGAAACCTTTGGAGATTCCAACCGAGGAATTCCACGCCGAGTGGTGGCCTCTTGTCGACAGTTTCTGGACCCGTATTCAACATAACTACCTTATCACTCCTGACGTGATCAAATGCATCAGGCGCTACTCCAAAAACACCAAGCAGTGGGCGCTCTGGGCGCGTCAACATTCACCACTTTTGCTGCAGGTCACCACGACCAATCCACTCGAGTCGTATCTCAGTGAGCTCAAAAGGGCGTCATCCAAAACACACGCACTCTTTGGTAAGGCCACCGATCATGGCGGATGATGGTCAGCTGTAGCAATGCGTTTTTTTTAGCATATGGAAGTCATTACTGCGTAGGAGCATGCCTTAAGATTGTCGAGGTCGACGACAAAAGGGAGACTCAGCGTAAAAAAGCGAAGGCAGATGTGTCAACAATAAAGATATGAAGAAGTGAGAGTGATAAGAGTGTGTATGATCAATGGTGTGTGCGATATATTAAGGTTTTATCATACGTACACAAGTAACTGATGAGACAAAGAGAGGGATTGTATTAGGCACACCAGGTACAGTCTATTATGCTGTCCCTGGTATGTAGCTTAAGGGTAGTCTAGTCTATTGTCTCCATCTATCTTAGGGTGCCATTAGGCGAATATGCGACAGTGTGTGAGGAAAAGTATGTGAGCTGGACAGAAACGTATCCTCTTTATTTTCTATCTGTCTTTGATTTATAGTCTCCTCTTATCACGTGAGTAAACATGCAACTGTTGCGACTAGCAGAGGCTAAACATCTCACACATGTTGTGCACGTACACAACAGCAGACTTCCGCACCAAGCGCATCTCCATCATCGATCTCTCAGAAACGATTCTCGAGCAAGTCCACAAGTTCCCATTCCCGGTTCAAGAGCTCATCATTGGCAAGGCGCGTGCAATGAGCGCAAGGATAGAAAAAGGCAAGACCCCTCCAGAGCTGATTGCACCAGAGTGTAACTGTCACTTTTTCTCCCGCTATCTTCTCCCTTGCCGGCATATTCTCCACGCGCACCTGTTCGGCACCGACCCTCCTGAGAAACTGGTGACCATTGAGGATTGGATGAACTTTCAGCACATGTTCGATGAGGCAGGCATGGAGGTGTACCAAAGCCGCAAGTTGGTTGAGGTGCCTGTTTACATTGAGACCGAAGAGGAGAGGAGGCAAACCATGTATTGGCTGAAGGCGAACGCGCTTCTGGAAAATGTGCGCAATGGCTTCTGGAAGGCCATGGAGCGTGGTGATGATAATGACATACAAGGGTTTATTGATGATCTTGCCCACTTCGCTGTATCCCACTCTGAATAAATAATACCACAGTACCAAGGAATACCACCGTAAAAGGAGCAGCGGGAAAGAGGGCTGACGGAAGAGAGGATCAGCGAGAAAGAAAGGGGGTAGAGGCGGATGATGAGGGAGGGGAGGGGGAGCGCAGGGAGGACCATGCAATTGGAGAGCGCAAGTGGGTCACGTGATATCAGGCTGTTGTAGCGGCGGGGCTTGAGGGGCGCCGTGACGGTCAATTTGGAGGTAGCAGAGGCATCTGGAGCAGGGATCGGCACAGGTTGGCGGCCTGCGAGCGCGTCAGGGGAGGCATGGTAAAGGCAGTCAGAGAGATAAAGAACGAACAAGATAAAAGTGAAGATGCAAGCCCAATGGAAAGCGGGAGCGGCCATGGGAGCATCGGGGAAAGGAAGGTGTATTGGTAGAAGGGAATATAGTCAGGAATAAGGCAGAAAGGTAGTGGAAAAGGATGAGTGTTTTATTACTGTTCTTTTAGAGAGGGGACTCACTCTCTATTTATCTAAACTAAGGTACTCCTAGTGAAGGTACCGAGATCTCATCTAGAGCTCTAGCCTGGATCTAAGATGGGCTATTTCTAGGAACCGGAGAGATGGCTCTCGTCGCGCGGGTAGGAAGTATGCGTTGGCGATAGCCGTCACGTGTGTAAGCAGCTTTTACAACAAGGCTTTAGCGGACCCATATTTTTGTATGCGAACAGCCGAGTGTTTCACTGTTTATCGCATGGACCAAGCTCATTCATGCTCCAATTTACCTTTTTTTGCGCACAATACTCTGGCCTAGACCCAGAGTACAGAGCCTACTGTAATTCATTTGGTCTCTTCCTCTAAGACATATAGCCAATCAGGTTTCAACGCAAGTCCTTATCGCCGCTTGAGTTTCTCGGCAGTTAGAGACACATACTTTCTCGGCGGAATTAAAAGTTGGTTGCGTTTCAGAACAATTATAACACAAGGGCACAATTGGAAGGCTTCTTAAATATAATTTATTTTTCAAAAAGAAAACCATCATCGTCCACCAATGTAAGAGGCCAACCTAGACCCCACCGCTCCATTCCCGTTTGCGAATGTACTCCGGAGGTAATGCGTGTTCAGCAAATGTCCAGTTGCGTTGTTGGTGTACAATTGGCCGTCATAGCGGTTCCTGTCCAGCGGCTTATAAGCCAAGACGCCTGTCTGTGCGACAAAGTCTCCTTTATTGGCAAAGTGCTCAATGTAACGGAGCTTTCCCTCACCAACAAAGTGGTTTGCCGCACTCCCAAACGTGTACACCTCCAATTTGCCCAGGGATGTGTCAACTTCGGTAGCAAGAAGGCGGTAAACCACCTGGCTGGCGATAATGCCCCCCTGCGGTAACATCAAGATGGGAAGGTGAAGAGAATGGAACGATTAGCTTCTGAGTTACGCTTAGCGCTCACACAGAACGCGATCTAGAGTGCTTTGGAGTTTATACGAACCTGTGAATGGGCAATAAGCACTACCTTCGTGATACCAGGTTTAAGAAGCTCATTTCTCGTGATTCCATAAAGTTGCCTGAAGTCCTCCGTACCTTGTGTAAAGCACCTTTGATAAATGCAATCCAGCAGGTCGAGCAAAGGGCCGAACGTGGGATTATAAACCCCAGTGATCTTGCGCCCAAATATGCGAGCTAGCATTTCGCAATTCAATCGCAGCCACGACAGATCGCAACAAATTCCGTTGGCATACAGCCAGGTCTCGTTTGGAAAAACGGCGCCCTCTTGGCTCTGATACGTTGTGGTTTGCTTTTTCACGGTCCAGGCGTTCACAGCGAAGTAGATGATAAGCAGGCCAACGGCAGTAAAGATACTGAGAACGGGCATGCACAAGAGCCAAATCAACGGCAACGTGCATAAAAATAGGATGAGCTGGCGGGATAGACTAAAGATGTTGCTCCAGTTACGGAGGTAGATTTCGTCATTCAGTATTGCTTGACAAGGGAGCCCTATGGTCTGTGGGGCGATGAGCCCATGGCTGGCAAGAAGGAATAAATCGCCCCAAAGCAGACGAATGGGAGAATCGGTGTAAGGAATGGCTGGGTCTGACATAACGATGAGTCCTAATGGCAGTTTGGACGGAAAGGCAGATATTATCGACTGCATTTATATGCACGGGTATCGTTTGCAGCACCTATATCCATCTTGGAGGTTTATGTTCACCCTAGATGGTCATGCTGCGGAACCAATGGCCAGTGGCGCATATGTCTTTCTTGCAGTACCACTCACTCACCCAGTCTTCAAGCTCCAGATGGCAGGACCAATGGCCAGTGGCGCATATGTCTTTCTTACAGTAACACTCACTCACCCACCATCGTATCGTATCGTATCATAGCCCTAACTGTTACTGCGCGCAGAGAGTAGATGTATATACAAGGCAAGGTTGGCCTAGACATTTTTTTGGCGATTATGAATCCAACACCACAGTCACATTGGACTCACGATTAAAGTTCTGGGTTCTGTCGGGGAATTTTTATCCAACAGCCACATGTATCTGCAAGTACCACTAGGGCTTGACAGATGAGACATGTGTGAGTGAGTGTGACCGCAGGAAATTGAATAAATATGCACCAAAAGAGGCCATGAAAAATGCGCCATTGGTCATTGGAATCTTGATGCACGAGCCATCTGAACGCAAGTGTGCGTCAATCATCGAATTACAGTCTTGATTACCACAGCGTTACCAATGACTACGCATATAAATGGAGTCCAGAGGCTCGCTCTTTATCTCCGTTCCCAAATCACAACATAACAGAAAAACGAGAAAAATGACAAATATTCCCTGCAAATCCTCTGATGACAGCTCCTCGTCTGAGGACTTCGATCTTGACGCCTTTATGAGCAAGATCAGTGACACCCCATTGGGTACCGGCAAACTTTTTCATTCTAAGGCCAGACCGGAATTATCTGCCCTTCAATACACCAATTCTCCCTGGCGTCTACTTCGGTTCGATGCCTCCCGTTTTCTTTACAAGTCTCCCTACCTCATATGGTTTCTTTGGCCCCCCTTTCCTACATTTCCAGGTAACGAACTCTATCTCTGGAAATGGAGCAACATCTTTAGTCTATCCCGCCAGCTCCTCCTATTGTTATCGACGTTGCCATTGATTGGGCTCTTGTGCATGCCGATCATCAATGCCTTTGCTACCGTTGGCCTGCTTGGCCTGGTTGGCTTTGCCGTCGCTGCGAACGCCTGGATCGTGAAAAAGCAACCCACAAGGTATCAGAGCCAAGAGGGCGCCGTTTTTCCGAACGAGACCTGGCTGTATGTCAACGGAATTTGTTGCGATCTATCGTGGCTGCGCATGCATTGCGAAATGCTAGCTCGCATATTTGGGCGCAAGATCACTGGGGTTTATAATCCCACGTTCGGCCCATTGCTCGACCTGCTGGATTGCATTTATCGAAGGTGCTTTACATACAGTATGGAGGACAGGCAACTTTATGAAATCACGAGAAATGAGCTTCTTAAACCTGGTATCACGAAGGTAGTGCTTATTGCCCATTCACAGGTTCGTATAAACTCCAAAGCACTCTAGATCGCGTTCTGTGTGAGCGCTAAGCGTAACTCAGAAGCTAATCGTTCCATTCTCTTCACCTTCCCATCTTGATGTTACCGCAGGGGGGCATTATCGCCAGCCAGGTGATTGACCACCTTCTTGCTACCGAAGATGACACATCCCTGGGCAAATTGGAGGTGTACACGTTTGGGAGTGCGGCAAACCACTTTAACGGTAAGGAAAAGCTCCATCACATTGAGCACTTTGCCAATAAAGGAGACTTTGTCGCACAGACAGGCGTCTTGGCTTATAAGCCGCTGGACAGGAACCGCTATGACGGCCAATTGTACACCAACAACGCAACTGGACATTTGCTGAACGCGCATTACCTCCGGAGCACATTCGCAAACGGGAATGAAGCGGTGGGGTCTAGGTTGGCCTCTTACCTTGGTGGACACGTTTAGTTCGTCTTAGTTATTTTTTCCATAGTGTAATTTCAGTCCATTGTGCAATATCGTCAAATAAAATAAAAAAAATTGGAATGCGACTACCTCAGCCCTTGCAGCAGGAACGACAAGGGGAAGGGGAAGGTAAATAGAGAGAGCCTAGCCCAACGCAACGCAACGAGGTCCGGATCCAGGCCCAGGTCTAGGTCATGGCCGAGTCGAGTCATGAGGCCCAGATTTGGTTTCCTGACATACAGTGCTCGACAAAAATGATTCAATGAATTGCCAATTTCGACATTTTCTTTTCTTGCATCTCAACCATTAATTTTTTTCAATGAGGAGACAGACCACTCCATCTATGCCATTGTCCGCATCTCTGAGTGCAATCACATCTCGTTTTTACTTAATGGAATCGTTACTGCCATTAGTTCTAATCTTCCCTCTCATTCAATCACTTTTGTCAATTTTCATGTGTGTGAATTTCGGCCCCATATAAAGTGGTCCCCGCATCTAAGCCACCGCGGTTTTTTATGGCATCCCTGATGCGTTCACATTAACCCTTCTCTCTCCATCGCTCATCACTCATCATCAACACATGAAATGCGATCTCTCCCTCCACAAATTGTCGACGATGCAAAACAGCAGTTTCATCAGGGAAGATCAGCACGGGAAGTAGCCAGCATCCTTCGAATCTCTGTCAGCTCTGCAATTAAGATCCGGAAAGCAGAACAGGAGAACATTCCAGCTCCAAAGATGGGTCGACCTGCCAAGATTTCAAAGGAGACTACTAGGATCCTTGCACGCCAATTCAACAATGGCACTCTACAATCACTTCAGGATGGCCAGCGGTTGGTTCAATCAGTGGATGGAGGGCAGGTTCATGTTCGCACTGTGCAGCGCCATCTGGAAAAAGAAAGTCTCAAGGCATTCGTGCAGCAGAAAAAGCCTGGTCTGGCAACAATTCACACCAGTGATCGGTACGAATTCGCAAAGGCGCATTTACATTGGACAGTGGATGACTGGAAGAACATAATGTTCTCTGATGAGACGACCATCAGTCACATTGGGTCCTTCAGCAGGCAGTTTTACTACAGCAACCAGGAACACAAATGCTTGAAGCCTCACCAGGTCAAGGAGACGAAGCTGTAACGTCTGAGGTATCTCTCGGCGTATTTCTTCCATTTTTATTCAATTAGTTAGAAAAGAGACCCGCTTAAGTACCCCTTAAGCATCGGGCATGCAGTAGCAGATATATCTGCATGCATGCTGAGACAAATAAACCTCACCTTTCTCTCTTCCTGACTTCCGTGAGCAAAAACATTTCAGAAGCAGAACTGTGGAGGAAAAATTATGGTGTGGGGTTGTATGACCTATTACGGGGTAGGCGACGCCTCCTGGATCCCAGGGAAGATCAATTCAGAAGACTACATCGATGTACTCAATGATTATGTCCTCGCCTCTCAGGACTGGTATGGCATGGATCCAGATACTTTTATTTTTCAACAGGACAATGCCAGCATCCACACCGCGTACCTAGTGAGGGCTTTTTTTATTGAGTCTAAAATCACTGTTCTCAAGTGGCCAGCGAATTCTCCAGACCTCAACCCTATTGAGTACCTTTGGTCATACCTAAAGAAGGAACTTGGAACGTACAAACAGGCACCAGCAACCTTGGAGGACCTGTGGGAACGTGTGCAGGATATCTGGACAAGTATTCCTATTAGCTATATCCAGAAACTGTATGAGAGCATGCCTAGGCGCATGGAGGAGGTATACAATAGTCATGGAGGACATACGAGGTACTAGTGAACATAGGCAGAGCAAAATAAAAAACACCATGTCGAAATTGACAAAAGTGATTGAATGAGAGGGAAGATTAGAACGAATGGCAGTAACGATTCCATTAAGTAAAAACGAGATGTGATTGCACTCAGAGATGCGGACAATGGCATAGATGGAGTGGTCTGTCTCCTCATTGAAAAAAGTTAATGGTTGAGATGCAAGAAAAGAAAATGTCGAAATTGGCAATTCATTGAATCATTTTTGTCGAGCACTGTAGCCCGGTAGAGCCACAGCCCCATGCAGATGGCCCCATTGGTGTGCGGCCCAACCAGCCAGCGGGATTGAACTGTCTGCTGCTGAACAGAGGTTTCATCCGTCCATTGTCCATGTGAACGAAATTACCATTTTTGTATGTGAAAGCCCATTGAGTGCCAGGCCATATACTGAACAACAAAAATTGGACCAGGAGTATCAAGTGATGTTCGAGAAGAGAGCAGTTATAATTGGAGATACTAAACTCGAGAGCAGGTGAATAAATACGTCCGATTTGAAGTTTTTCCACACTCTTCCAATAACACCTTCACTGCAATGCTGCCATCCGGATGGGAAGCCGCTGTCGCGCCAGACGGGCGTACATACTACATCGATCACAACACCCGAACAACCACCTGGGAAAAACCCGCAGATGCACCGCCAGCGTACGGTGCCGCATCATCAGTACCACCAGCACAGGCACAAGCTGCCGCACCAGTGTCAACAGGACAACCCCAAGTCGTCATCAACAGAGTATTGCTTGACCAAGCTTCGCTCCAACGCCTGCATACCGCCATCTATCCCAACCCCATAACCCCTGGTAACTACTGGTACGATTCTATCAGTGGCGCGTGGGGATTGATGGGCGGACCTTGCATCGGCATCATGCCGGCCGGTCTCGTACTCGGAGGACCGCTCCCCGCAGACGCATCCGGGGGAGGAACGGGCGTCTTCATCAATGGGCGCGAAATACACCCAGCGGATAAAGCAGGACTGCAGGCCATCGGCGTTACTGCGGTCCCCGGAAGATGGTGGGTCGCAGCAAACGGCGCGTTTGGAATGCAGGGAGTACCCATACCCATTGGCAATCTCAGAGAAAGCGCACAGAGAGCAAACAGCAGCGGTCCGTGGTCAGTACACTCAAGAATTATGGGAACACACGTAGGCGGCGACGGACAAGGATTTACATACTTCCAGGGCAAAGATAGCCATGGACACATAACAAGCTGGTCATCGGGAAAACCACTCTATCTTTTTCGTATGACTAGCGTGTTACCCGCATGTAATTTTAGTAAAATTGTTGCAATTATCAATTAAGCTTAGTATGAGAGGAAACCGGCGCAGATCTTGGATTGGATATACTGTACGAGAAGACTTGCAGCGGCAGGTGCTCTTGTGTGTGAAATGCCTGTTTTTGGTCCTTTCCGAGCAAGGCATTCTGTCCTGAATGCAACCCTTTGTAATAGCAACAGAGGGAGGGCGAGGGGATGACAAGGGCAAGAGACAAGAGACAAGAGACAAGAGGGAACAAGAGGGAATGGATGAATGGAGCAAGAACGAGTGATGTTTATTATACAGAGGAGAAGGGTATTTATATGTCTATGGTATAAGGGATGGTGGCGAGGTAGACAAGACAATAACAAAGCAGGGGCAGCGTATGAAGTTGACACACGGGGGAGTAGCAAGGCTTTCAAGGAACAAGGCCGTCGTAAAGCAGGGGGCGATCTACAATCCTGTCACACCCTTAATGCTTTACCTATTGCAACAAGACGACGGTGGATATCTTGAACAGAGGACGGGGGAACGAGGAGACGAGAGAGACGAGGGAACTGGGGACGAGTACTTGAACGTTGTGTTTAATAAAGGCTTGAGTTCTGAACTACCGAGCTGTAACAGGATCCTAGACAACCCCTCACTCGCCACCACTCGCCATCACTCGCCATCACTCGCCACCACCGCGCCCCTGTAATCTAGACACATAAATACCCCTACCTTCCGCTGTACAATAAACCTCATTCTTTCTTGCTCTTTCCTCTTGTCTCCCTTGCTTCCTCTTGTCCCCCTCCTTGTTCTCTTGCGTTGTCTCTGTTGCTGTTACACGAGCTAACTAGGGTTGACGGATGCTATTTATGCTATGTTCACGGCTTCTAGTGTTTTCTAGGTTCGTGGTTGGTGTTGTAGCAACGAAAGTGAATGAATACAAGTGCGTGTTTATGTGTGTGTATGAAAGAGAATGTGTGTGTATGTGTGTATGTGAAAAGTATGTGAGCTGGACAGAAACATATCCTCTTTATTTTTCTATGTGCTTTTGATTTAAAGACTCCTCTTATCACGTGAGTAAAACTGCAGTTGCTGCGACTACACTGCTAAACATCTCACACATGTTGTGCGCGTACAAAACAGTTGGTTAGCAAGCAAGAGGTTTCTCGAATGTTGGTGGCGCTGGTTGACGTCATATCAGAGTGAAACTGTCACACCTTTGCGATTGCGAACTGCATGTACGACTGTTTTGTGTAATCTGATTCTTGGCGAGAAACACAAGGGGAGGGGCAGGGAGTAAACCAAGAACGAGGAAGGGCATCCCCAGCCTGCCAAAAGATCAAGGAGATACAGCAGGTACCGGTCGAACTGACGCAGGATATTCAAACCCCTTAAGTGATCCCAGAATTAACGTAGGTAAGCCAGTTGCATATTCTTCTGGAAATAATCGCAAATGCTGCAATTTTCTTGGAATGATCCACAAGTGTCCTACAGAGGACGGACTACTTGCATTGTCATAGGTGCCATGGACATATGTGTGACTTCTTTTATTCCTTTTTAACCGACGAAAAACTATTGTGCCTTCTACTAATACAAAATCGTTATCTCCATCACCTGACTTATCGTAAATCATGTGATGTTCCCTCTTTCTCTTTCTCACTAGAACTAGCAAGTGGCCGCGGCTACGCCGCGGACGCTGCGCCGGTTTCTCGATTCCCAGGTTTGGCGTGTAAGGGCTAGAGGTGTTGCCGACCTGGGGTCTTTTCTCATTCATTTTGGATGTGTCTTGACTTCAAAGGGGGGAAAATAATATTAGGAATAAAAAAATGAGCCAGCAAAAAGGATGAGAGGACTGATCTAAAGAACGGGCGAGCATTGTTCACTCTTTTAACATTTTGATCGATTCTATGGTGTAGGGTATGATTACGGAACTCTCTTATAGACATCACTTCTAGTGTATGTGCCCTCAAGCTCGGGGATGCTGCCATGGATCATAAGAACTTTGACATTTTTGATGTCTGCGCATCAAGAAAGAGAAATATAAAGCTTACTGTGTGTGAACACAGCAGTAGGGAGATAGAGTCCGACATTTTCAAGGGTCTGACCCTGCGCCTTGTTGATCGTCATGGCAAAGGCAGGCCTGACCGGGAACTGTCGTCTCTTGAATGTGATCGGGGAGGACTTGTCGTCTGTTGTTAAAATCGGCACTCGTGGGATGAAGACCAAGTCGGTGGCAAAAGGTCCCGTTAGGATTGTCGCCATGATGCAGCGTGGCCTGAGCCGGCGGACAATCAAGCGAGTTCCGTTGCAGAGTCCTTTTTTTTGGTCTACATTTCGGAGGAGAATGATGGGCATGCCAACTTTCAGCACCAGATAGTAGGGAGGTAATCCAGTGGGGTCCAAAGAGTTGAGATACTCTGTAGGATAGTTGGCGACGCCGTTGGTATCTGAATCCGGAACGGAGTCTTGGCCAAGGTACTCTGTTGCCTTGCCAGGAAGTAGTGTGGTCGGGAGGTTGTTCATGTAATTGACATCCTTGTTCAGTGTTGTCAAAATAGCGGTGCGCTTGATGTCGTGAGGTGCAAAGTTGCCGATGGAGATATTGGGGTAGATGGTGCGGATAAGTTGGATCTCGTGCTCGTTGTTGAGATTGGGTCCATGTGGCGTAAAAAGGATGTCGTCTGGAATCCTGATATAATCATCAGAGTCGCCAAGGAAAATGTCTGCTCCTTGCCTTCACCCACATGTAGCAAAAAATCGACGGAAGAAAAAGAGCTGCTCTTGTCCTCCATGACTCGCATATTGCGAGTTTGCTTGAGTGCCTTGACCTTGGGCCAAATGGTGCCAGACATCTTTAGACATGCGCCTTCGATTTGAGACTGAGATCCATGAACAACCACCGGCAACACCTGTTGAAAGTCACCACCGAACACGACAATCTTTCCGCCGAAAGGAACCAAGGGTCGATCCATAATCCGGTCCACAGACTCAAAGACATTTCGATGCATCATGGGTACCTCGTCCCAGATGATGAGGTCGGCCGCATGAATAATGGATCCGACTTGTTGCTCGCGGGTGATATTTCAGGTCGAGTCTTTGAAAACTGGATTGGGGAACTTGAAGACAGAGTGTGCAATGCGTCCACCATGAAGGATCAGAGCTGCTATACCGGATGACGCGAGGACAACAACATTCTTTTTCAGAACACCACTGATTTGTTCAATCAGTGTGTTGTAGAGAAAGAATTTGCCGGTGCCACCTGGTCCGTCAATAAAATAGAGGTCGGTCCTTTGGGGGCGGACGGGTGTGGAGACAGAGGCGATGACTTCGTCAAATATTACCCGATGCTCGACATTCATGGTTTGAATGTGAGGGCCCGCCAGCTTGGCGAGCTCTTCATGCGATTTTTCGCTGTGGTCAGAGGCGGACTTTGGGATGTAGCGGAGAATGCTGTCGCTGATGTCTTGTGGCATAGTGGGAAAGGCGGCCAGAGAAGGGAGACAGAACCTCTCGCCGTCCTTAGGCTGGACAAAGTAGATCCGGGCAATCTTGAGGGTGTCCTTTTGATGCCCCTTGTCCCACTTGCGATTGTTTTGGTCGTAGGTGTAATGCTCGCGAATCTCGGCGTATGTATATTTATGTGCGTCCTTGTCCTCTTGGTTCAGCTTAAAGTAGGCCATCAGTTGACTGTCGTTGTTACGGCGGGCGACACAAAGTAGATCCGCGTATGTGACGTTGTGCTGGCCTATGAGATGGACCTGTAGACGTTGCACAGCAGGTGAACGACCGTACAAAGGATATCCAAGGACGCGCCACATGCTTTCATGGGAAGAGAGGTATCTCATATCGCGAAATTCGCGAATCTCGATGCGTGAAGGATGCTATTATACAAACGATAGCAAACAAAAAGAGAGTGAGAAAAAATAGTAAGCAAGGTGTTGCAATGGTCAGACATCCAGGGAAAAAAATGCGCAAAAAAAGTACCTCCTTGCTTGCTGCATTTTTTTTGGTGTGCAGCGATTGAGCCTTCAGTGGCGGTGGTGTTATACCCTGTAGCGGTAGCTGTAGCAGTGGCGGCGCTGCTGCTGGTGCTGGTGCTAGTGCTAGTGCTAGTGTTGGTGCTGGTGGATGCAAAGACGACGATGGGATTGATCAGTGGAGGCAAACAGAAGACCCTTCTTTTTCGAGGGCGATCTTGGCTCTGCTCGGTCCATTGGGAAAATGAAAAATGAAAAATAGAAATTTGTGTATGTCCATTGATGCTTTGACTTCTGTGCTGCGATACTATTGTTTCTTTTGCTTTGATAGAAATAAGGGGGCAATGAACAAAAGACATGCCTTACGGATGTGCTCGTATAAATATTTCACGGCAGAGACGGAAAACCATATCTCGACATTGAGGTGGGTGTTGAACTTGGTTGCCAGCCAAAGGTTGTGAGGCACGACCCAGCTATTGTCGATCTCTGTCGGGAGATTATCGGCCAGTTCTATTTGGTTACACCTTCCGGCACAGGCATCCAAGGTCGCCCTCTTAGTCCCAAAAGACCTGGCAAGATGTTCAAGGTGGCCGACAGGATTCCGGCCATCACACCCACACTTGGTGCACATGCTTCTGGAGGTGGGAACTGGCGTGCGCGTGTTCGTGATGCTGTTGGAGCCGCAGACGTTGGCGTTGGAATTAGTACCGCTAGTGCTGGTGGTACTGGTGGTGCTGGTGGTGCTGGTGGTAATGGTGGTGGATGATGGTGCCGCTTCCGATTCCTCATCAGTCTCCTCTTCAACAATCATTCGCCGTCGCTTGTCCAACTTAACCGAGGTTGTCCCAACAATGGGCGGGCGATCACTATTGATGGTGCCGTTTTGGTAGGCATCGTAAATGTCTATTGAAAAGACATTGTCAAATTGCCATTCGTCAGCAAATCACTCAGGACGTCAATGAAATCATTGTCGTCATTGAACCCATAGTCTCTGTCCGTGTCCTGACCAGTGACAGGGACGGCGATAGTAGGTGTATTGTTGCTAGAGACGTTTTTTGCAACCTGCTTCTGCTCCTGCTT